AAGGTTTTTTGGTACTTCACACTGATTCTTATTGCTCTGTTTCTTGTTTTAAATGCTATGGGGTGAGAGGGGCATGCTCAGGCCTAGAATAGTTTGGTTTTGCATTCTCTGATTGCTCTGGCAGCTGAGAGGAGAGATCACTGCCAGCCCTTCCCTGGAGCTGGGGAGGGCAGCTGGCAGCACAGCACCAGTCCCATGGAAGCAGCAATCCTGGGAAAAGGTGGCACCTGCCTGAGGCACCAGCAGTGTCCTGTGCTCTGTCCCATCTGCCCCAGCCTAGGCTCTGCCTCTCCTGCTGGGGGACTGGGCCCACAGCCCAGCAGGCACAAGGAATAAAAATCTCTGGATCCTCAGGGCTTGTGCCTGCATAGCCCCTCGCCCACCACAGGCTCAGCACCCCCATAACGGAGGGGGGGCCAAATTCAGTGCCCAGATACTGCTGCTGCTGCCTGAGGCCTGCAGGGGAACAGGAGCCCTGGGAGGAGGCAGCTTTTGCCTCTTCCCCCTTCCCAGAGCCTCGGCCACACAAAGGTCAGTGCACCTTTGCGTCCCAAGCCTGGTCTTCCCTTTTCCCTTGTTTCAGGAAGGGGAGGCGGCCGAATCTGTGATTCTATTTTTTGTGTCTGGCCCTTGGCTGTTTGGTCTCGCTTGTTCCTTTCCTCCCGCTGCCCCGGGGTGTGGGCTGTCAGCGTCCCGGGGGCTGGAGCCGGTGCCAGGATCCATCAGCACCACAGCTCCGGGGCCCAGGCGCTGGATGCAACCCGAGTACCGGGGCCGCAGGTGCAGGCGACGGCACCGGAGCAGCGAGCGGTGAGCAGGATCTCGGGCCTGGGGGTGAGACAAGGCAAGGAACCCTCCATTAAAGGGGCGGGGAGCGCTGCCCTCCCGCGTTCCCCGGTGCCAGCCCCGCACCCGGGCCATCCTCCTCCCGGCCCCGCTCCCGCCGCTCTCTCGGCTCCGGGAGGTGACGGTGCTGGGGCGGGGCCTCGCGCGCGCCCCGCCCGCCCGCCGCCGCCGATTGGCCGCTCCCGGGGCGGGGTTGGCGGACCGCTCGCTGATTGGCGGGCGCGCCGGAAAGGAGGGACCGGCGGGGAGGAGGCCGGGGCGCCATGGTGAGTGCGGGCCCGGCCCGGCGCGGGACGGCGCGGCGGGGGAGGGAGGGCCGGTCCCGCTCGGTCTCTGCTCGGCCCCTCTCGGTCCGGTCCCCGCTCGGCCCGGTGGCACGGGGGGCTTGGGCCGAGTCGCGGCGAGGCTCCCTGACTGCCGCCTCTGCGGAGAGACTGGGCCCGGCCGCCGGCCGGGAGCGGCCGTCGGGCCGCGGTGTGTGACCCGGCTCGGGGAGCTTCCGCCGCAGTGTCTGATCCCTCGGTGCCGCTGCCCGGGCTGTGACCCGCTGCCCGGGCCCGGTACCGGCGGCGTGGGGATCCCGCTCTGACTCTCCTTTGCAGGCCACAGCGACGGACCAGCTGGTTGGGTTTGGCTTGGTCGCCTTCAGCCTCGTCCTCTTTGTTTACTACACCCTCTGGATCATCGTGCTGGTACGGGGTTCCTCTGGCCGATATAAGCCCAGTCAGTCCATGCTCAGGTGTTTCCCCGGCCTGTGTTCAGGTGATGATGTGTCTGCGTGCCCGAAGGACTCTCGACTTCTGGGTTAAAAATTTCAGGGCAGGTCTTCCTCTGTGTCCTTGTCCCATCTGGGTGTTCCTGGCCTCTCCTGGGCAGGACCAAACGTTGATCATGGTGCCCACCTGCTGTTCCAAGCCGGGCTGACCCAGCTAGGGCTGGAAGAGTCATTGGGAAGAGCTGAGGCCTGGCCCTGATGGAGGTGTAGTCATCAATGTCCACATCCCCCAGATTCCTGGTTCTGGTGGGAGATGACAGAGGGAAGCATAGAGACAAATCTTAACAAATCTGCTAGGAGATTTGTAAAACTAAACAAGAGTGTAGGGAATGCAGGGCTCTGGGAAGGTGATTGTGAGGCTGCCCATTTCTGGGGACACATCAGCTGAGGTGATTAGTGATTTTCTCCCCAGAAAGAAACTTCTCCCCACGAACTTTCCAGGTGTGAGAGGCCAGGTTCAGCTCTGGACTAATGTCTGAACTCCCACCAGCTTCCCCTCCAACTCCAAGGGGTTTGAATTCCCCTCTTGCATCTGCTCGCTCTGCTGCCCGATCCACGTCTGTGCTCCCGGCATTCCCCGAGCGGTAGGAGCATTCCAGTCCTCACAGTGCTCCCTAGTGTCCAGAGCCTTCTCCTGGCCTCTGCAGAGCGATCCTGCTGGGATAACCACGGAGCTTGGTGTCATCTGCTCCCCTGTGCAGGGCAGAGAGACAGAGACAGGGATTTGCTGTGTTCTGCACCAGCAGCTCTGCCCACCCCAAACCCCCGGGGCTGTGGGACCCTGTGCCAGCCCCGCAGCCACCCCTCACTGTCCACTGAACACCAAACCCTTCACTGCCCACCGCTCTTGGTCTCTGTGGCTGAGCCACCTGCAAGTCTCACACCCTTTTTTGGCCATCTCACACCAGATATTTCCATGTTTCTCCCGAAACCTTGAGGTGTTGTGCCCACCTGCTGACCCCCCTCTGTGTCCCTGCAGCCCTTCATTGACAGCGACCATGGGATCCACCAGTATTTCCTGCCTCGGGAATATGCAGTTATCATCCCTGTGGCAGCCGGGCTCCTGCTGCTGCTATTTATAGGTGAGAGTTATTTCTGTGCTTCTAATTAGAAACTTCTAAATTAGGAAGAGAGAAGAGGGTTGCTGGGGGTTTAGCTAATGTGTGACACTCTTGGCAGTCTCTGTGGTTACTGTTGAAGCTTAGCCTGGCACTTGTGGCTCTGTGTGTGTGATTTTTGGCTGTTTGAGCCTCTGGACATTAGAATTTTCTTACTCTCTCTGCTGAGATTCTGTTTCTCTTTGCTAGGTGTTGTAGAAGTGCCTGGAATTGAATGTTTCCTACCTGAATTGTCTCTCTCTCTCTTGGCAGGTGTTTTTATAATGTCTGTCATGTGGAAGAGCAGGAAACACGCCAAGAAATCAGACTGAAGGCCCAGCTGAGGAGATGAGGAGGTGCCCACGCTGCAGCATCATAGCCAGGAAAAGACTTTTCCTGCAGCTCCAGGCAGACATCTCCAAGGTGCCCAGCACTGAGCTGCTCCCACGTTCCCTCCTGCAGAGACTAAACCTGTAGTTTACAATTCACTGACCAAAGAGAAGCAGGATTCATCCAAGGCTCATCAAGTGAGGGACCAGAGCCCCTGCTGAGGGACTGCTCCCCAGCTGGGGCTGCCCTGCCCACTCTCTGGGCACTCCTTCCCTTCATCTCTGGCTCAGCCCAGCAGTTTGTTCCTTCTGGGAATTTTATTTAAAAGTTTACCTACAGTTTGTGGGGTTTTTTGATTCTAGTCTGAAAGGAGAGAAATGAGACTTTGGGCTTGGAAAGGACAGGTTTGCCTTCTCCATTTGCTTCTGGAAGGGTTAATCACAGTGCTGGGGGCTCTTGCCCTTCTGAAGAGGGTCTCCCATAAGGCTGGGCTTGCAGAGGGAGCAGGGACAGCCCCCTGTGTCCCACCCAGCTGAGGGAGTGTTGAGGTGTCCTGGATCACAGGGAAGTGTTGTGTGTGGTTCCCATCACAGCTCTCAGTCCTGGCTGGGCTCCTGCCCTGGACAAGGCTCCCTGTGCCAGCCAGGCTGGTGTGGTGGCAGTGTCCATCCCCTGGGGGTTTCCTCTCCTGGCAGCAGCTGCTGCCCTGGCAGCTCCCCTGGACCATGGCAAGCAGGATTACCCTCAATAAAGGTCTGTAAGGTCTCACTCCCTGTCCTCTGCCCATGCCAAGGGTGCCACAAGCCTGCCAGGGTGGGTTCAGCTGCATGGCCCTGGCAGTGCATGACATCCTGCTGAAAAGGTCCTGCTGGTGAGGTCAGGCAGGGAAGCAGCAGAGACAACCTTGCCAAAAATGCTGGTTCTGCCATGCTTGGGGCTGTACCCTGCCTGGGGAGGGCAGATCTGGGGCACTCCAACCCTTCTTGCATGTACTGTGAACTATCTGCCAGCAGCCTGTCCCACAGTCTCCCATCCTGCCTGGAGTGGCTTGGGACACAGCTGAGCCTGGCTGCAGGAGCCAGCAGAGGCTCCAGAGGTGAGGCTCTAGCTGGGGGTTTGTTTCCAGCTCTTGCAGAGGCTGCCGGGCCATGCTGAGCTGTCCAACCCCCTGCTGCCCTTCCCTGCTGCTCACCTGCTGGCCAGGGTTCAGCCCATCCCATAAGGGTGGTTTTGGGCTGGGGCAGAAGGAAGCAAAGGGTGGAAGAATTCAAAGGTGACTGAGCAGCTGCTGGTGTGACCTCCCCCTCCCGCCTTGCTTCCTGTGCAGGGTCCCAGCAGTGTCCCTGTCACTTCCTCTGCTCCAGGCCTGTTCAGGACAGTGGGGGGGATCGGTTTTCAAGGTTACATCTCATATTTCTTTATCTCCAGTGGGAGAAATCCAGTGCCCCCTCAGGCCAGCAGGCAGCTCGCTCTGGGGACACTTCCCATGGATGCTCTGTGGCTTGACCCTGGCAGGAGGGGCTGCAGGTGATGGGCCATTGGATGGGGTCTGGGGTACCAGGGTCTCACCTGCCTTGGTCCCGCTCCGGAGCCATTCCGGATCCTCGTGCCGTCCCGGGGCTCATCGGGAGCTGGTGCCGCACGGAGGTGAGAGAGCACGGGGGGCGGGGAGGCTGCAGGACCCCCGAGCGGGAGGGGAGCCAGGGAGCAAGAGGGGGAAAGAGCCGTGGGGTCGCTACCGAGGCACGCGGTAGGGAGAGAGGCGAGGGCCGGTGTCGGGACACGCGAGGGGGGTGCGGGGGTCGCTCCCGGTGCGCCGGGCACGGCCCCGCGGGCAGGGGCGGGCGCGTCCCCGGAGGAGCGGGGTCGCGGGGCGGGGCGGGGGGCCGGGGGCG